CACCCTGTGAGTTTGGCCAGTATTGTTACTCCCTGTGACAGGGGGCCACCACGAAGCCGGTCACAATGTCGGTTCACCCACCTGTCTAGGGCAGTGCACCCCGCCTCACCTGCCATGCTTTTGATGTTTCCACAAAATAGGTCTTAATATGCCGGAGGCTGCCCACTTATTGCTTGATGCCAAGGGTGTAATACATGGCTCCGAACCACTCCTACACCATATCCCATGCCTCACAGATTCCATCCAACCAGTTGGCTCTCACTTAGCTCTTTCCAGGGCCGAACTCTGCCCCTATGCTGGGCCTTCTTCACTCCTCATAACTGGTTCCTATTCACACTGCCCCTTTTACTGGGTCACATTCATTCTCACCCCACCATGGGCCACATGCACTCTGCCCTACTCAGTATGGCCCTTCAGAGCCCCTTAGCCGTGTGGCAGAATACCATCTCTGTCTCTCCCCAAACTCTGCTACCTGACAATTTGGTTACCATGGTCACTGCAAAGGGCAGACTCCTCTGCCCCATCTTTATGTAACCCTGAGTGGTAACCTGAGCTGGATACAGTCCTGAGGGAGGAGGGAAACCTGCTCCCTCTGCCTATGTGACTGGCATCACATACCTGAGTGGGGGGGCTCAAGCTCCCTGTTGTCCTAAGCAATGTTAACCTGACTGGGAGGGGGCTAAAGACCCTGCCAGTCTACCTGGCAACCAGTGATGCATTTCTAATTGGTCGGCTGGCAGCCAACAGTTGTTGGCCTTCATTGGATCAGGTAAATGAGGTCATAAGGTCTGTATAAGTGAAGGACTGCCCAGGAGGAGGGCAGTGGCCATGATGAAAACTCAGAGAAGCTGGACCATCTGAAACTTGCTTTTTCTCTTGAAACTTATGATCAATGAACCACTTGCCTCCAGAGGGAATCTCCACCTGCCTCTGGATGATACTTGTGAGTAAGATACTTGAGATCTAACTAAATATATAGTTTGCAGTAATTCAGATGTGTGATCACAGGCTATCCAGCCACCCTGTTTGCTCTGTGGGATTTCTCTGATATTGCTCTACCCTGTACCCCATTCCAAACCTACTCCTTGCAACCAATAAAGTTCTCCTTTGTACCTAGCATGGGAGACTTATTGGGAGAGGGTCTAGATTACGCCTTGGGGTCCCCTTGGTTCGTCTGACTAGGGGAGACCATTATTTTTGTGCTTCAGACTGAGGGAAGCACCACAAGTTCTTGCAGTGGGTCAAGTACTCTCAAGGACTGCCAGGCCTGTGTTTCCTAAAGGGCACAGGTCCACAATCATTCCAGACTCTGGGTGGTGGCAGTAATACCCCCAGGCTAGTGGGTGTGCTCCAGGAAGGGGGTTGGCCAGACTTGAGGCACCCCCAGGGAGGCACTCAGAGCCTGGAAGGTGGTCAGGTGCAGTGCGGTGGGTGGCTCAATGCAGGAGCACCCCCTACTGGCCCGCCACAAGCCCTACTCCATACAGCCCTTCAGGCTTCCTCTCTCACACTTGGTCCTGGCCCCTCGCAGACCTTCAGGCCACCCAATTCAGGTCCTACTCTATGACAGGGCATGAGGCCTCCTGCCCCACACTCCAGGCTGACTCCAGTCCCTGGCCTTCTCTAAGTCATGGTGGGTGAGTACAGAGGGGAGACGAAGATAAAAGTGCAGAACCCTCTCACACCCAGGACTAGGAAACTCCTTCACCACATAGTTCCTACCCTGACCTCCAGGTGTTCTGGGAGCTGCAGGCTGAGTGATGTTGCCCCTCTGGCTCCCTAGATGTAACTGCTGGCTCAGCTCTTAGGGCCTTGGCTTATACTGAGGCTACCCAGCCCTCCTCCAATCTGGTGGTCCCTCTTTGGTCATTTAACCGTCTAATTTGGCCAACCCGCACCTGACAGCTACCCAAAGCCTGCCTGAAACCTTTTAACGTGGCAGGCACAACCTGTGCTCTGCCACACTCCCTTTTATAGAGAGGTGAAGTGGCCTGTTCAAGGTCACATACACCAGAGGTGGTCACCCTTTGGCACAGGTTGCATGGACAGCCTCAGTGTGTGGCATGGAGCAGATCAGGAAGGGAACAGGTAACACAAGAGCAGATATGGTAGGAAAGAAGAGCAGGAAATCAGGCAGGAAGCACAGGGGAGGAGGCAGGAAGCAGAACAGCATATGAAGCAGGAAGTAGAGCAGCAAATCTGGCAGAGGAAAGGGGTTGCTTGGGGCACTTGGGGAGGGTGCAAGGCTAATTTGCAGCATGGCCACCAAAAAGTTTGCCTCCCCCCCCCCCCCCCCATACACCACATCATTCCCCCCCCCCCCCCCCCCGATATACACCATATTCCTCATTATTACCATCACCAATAACAAAAGCAACATCAGCACACCCATGGCAGTTTCCAAAATACAGAGTAAGAGAAGTGTTTTCCAAAAAGTTTACATAAGGAGGACAACAGTAACTCATTCTTATGGTTTTCATCTGTAGATCTCAAGGTACTAACACTGGTAATTTATCTCATAGATTCATAGATAGATTCATAGATGTTAGGGGCGGAAGGGACCTCAATAGATCATCAAGTCCGACCCCCAGATCATCGAGTCCGACCCCCAATAGGTCGCTGTCATTCACATACACTGAAACTGAAGCACAGAGCGGAAGTAATTTTACCCAAGGCCTCTCAGTGTGTCAGTAGCAGCTGGAGAACCCAAAGTCCTGACTTTCATAGGTTGCTCTGGGCCAGGGGTTGGCAACCTATGGCTTGTGGGCCCAATCCAGCCTGTAAAGAGATTGGCTCTAACCTGCAAAGGACTGATTTGGCCACATTCCCAAGTTTCATAGATTCATAGAGTCATAGATGTTAGGGTTGGAAGGGACCTCAGTAGGACATTGAGCTCGACCCCTTGCCCTGGGCAGGAAAGAGCGCTGGGGCCAGGTGACCCCAGCTAGGTGCTTGTCCAGTCTCCTTTTGAAGGCCCCCAAGGTAGGGGAGAGCAAAACCTCCCTTGAAAGCCCATTCCAGATTCCAGCAACCCTTACTGTGAAGTTCTTTCTAATATCCAACCTAAATCTGCTCTCCATCAATTTGTGGTCATTGTTCTTAGTTACTCCAGGGGCTGCCCTAGTAAATAGAGCATCTCCTATTCCCTGCTGCCTTCCCCTGACTAATTTATAGGCAGCCACAAGAACACCTCTCAACCTTCTCTTGCAAAGGCTGAAGAGATCGAGGTCCCTCAGTATCTCCTCGTAGGGCCTTGTCTGAAGGCTTCTGACCATACGAGTGGCCTCCTCTGAACACTCTCAAGATTCATAGATTGTAGAGTCGGAAGGGACCACAACGGATCATCGTGTCCGACCTCCTGCCCCTGGCCCTCCTCTGGACCCTCTTGAGATTCCCCGCATCCCTCTTGAAGTGTGGAACCCAAAACTGGACACAGTACTCCAACTGCGGCCTGACCAGTGCCGCATAGAGCGGGAGCATCACCTCCTTTGATCTATTAGTCATGCACCTGTTAATGCACGACAAGGTGTGATTGGCCATGTTGATGGCCTTGTTACACTGCCGGCTCATGTTCATCTTGAAGTCAATTATGACTCCAAGATCCCTCTCTGCCTCTGAGCTGCTGAGAAGGACACTCCCTAACCTATAGGTGTGCTGGGGGTTCCTCCTTCCCAGGTGGAGTACCTTACATTTATCTTTATTAAATTGCATCCTATTTCTCTCTGCCCATTGATCCAACCTGTCCAGGTCAGCCTGAATCTGCTCCCTGCCCTCCGGTGTACTAACTTTGCCCCATAACTTGGTATCATCAGCGAACTTGGAGAGGGTGCTCTCCACGCCCTCATCCAAATTGCTGATGAAGATATTAAATAATATCGGTCTGAGGACCGAGCCCTGTGGGACCCCACTGCCCACCTCCCTCCAGGCCGAGAAAGAACCATCCACCACCACTCTCTGGGTGCGGGCCCTAAGCCAGTTGGCCACCCACCTGACCGTGTAGGTGTCCACTCCACAGTCTGCTAGCTTCCCAATGAGGATAGGGTGCAAAACTGTGTTGAAGGCCTTCCTAAAGTCCAGGAAGATGACATCAGATGATTCTCTGCATCCCTCCTTGAAGTGTGGTGCCCAAAACTGAAGGCAGTACTCCAACTGCGGCCTGACCAGTGCCGCATAGAGGGGAAGCATCACCTTCCTGGACCTGTTCGTCATGCATCTGCTGATGCACGATAAAGTGAGGTTATCCTTGTTGATCACTTTATCACATTGACAACTCATGTTCATCTTGGAGTCAACTATGACTTCAAGATCCCTTTCTGCTGCTGTGCTGCTGAGAAGGTCATCCCCCACCCTGTAAGTGTGTTGATGGTTCTTTTTGCCCAGGTGCAGCACTTTGCACTTGTCTTTGTTGAACTGCATCCTATTTCATTCTGCCCATATTTCCAACCTGTCCAGATCCACCTAGATCTGTTCCCTACCCTCTGGTGTGTTAACTTTGCCCCATACTTTGGTATCATCTGCAAACTTGGACAGGGTGCTCTCCACGTCCTCGTCGAAGTCACTGATGAAGATATTGAATAGCACCGGTCCAAGGACCGAGCCTTGCGGGATTCCATTTCCCACGTCTTTCCAGGTCGATATTGACTCATCCACCACCACTCTCTGGGTGCACCCCCTAAGCCAATTTGCCACCCACCTGATTGTCTTCCATATCCTTACAGATGGGAGCTGAATATCTGGCAAGGGCAGGCAGGAGACCAGTACCCTTCAGACAATATTGCTTGGGAGTTCTTTTCGCCCACTGTCTACTTGGCTTCTGTTTTTTAACTTGCACTTTATCTTATAAGGCAGTGTAGTAAGCACTGTAGTGACTCAGATGCAGTTAAACTAGACAAATATGGTTTTGATTGACAAAAATAGAAACTGTTCTTTGCTCACTCAGAAGGAATTTGATCTGCTCTTTCTCTATTCCCTGCTTCTCTTCCCAGCTTTTGTTTAGCCCCTGGAGTAGGAAGGAAACGTTGATACCCTCATTTATTCTTTGGATTATCAACTTCTATCCCACTTGGTAGGTAGGAAGACAACCATCATTCTCTTCTCCTAATATTGTAAATTCCTTGATTTCCTACTTGTCCAGAAGTGACCTTAAAATACAGAAATAAATATCCAGTAGTTTGGATATGTTTAGAGATCAGAAAGGCGCAGATTGCAAAACCGAGCAAGAAAGAGGGCAGAGGCGTTTTTGTTTGTTTGTAGCTTCTGCTCCTGCAAAGTAAAAAGGAAATGCTCTCCCTGTTTTTTTTTCCCCTTAATCCTTGATATTTTCTCTTAATCCTTGATCATTATTAAAATACCTTGGTTAACAGCACAAAATATAGCTGTCTCTAAACAGTGGAAAACAGGATGGACTTGGAAGTAACTAACAGGCACCCTGCCTGCACCCCACACCCATCTACTATAAACTCTCTTCACCAACATACCTGTCGGTTGGGTCTGCTCTGTCAAATGGTATCTCCCCTTAGAAACGAACTTGTCAGAACTCTTCTGTTTTCTGTGCTGCAATATGCTATACTTGTTGCTGCAGGATAATTGATAATAGTTTCATTTTCTGCAACACTTCCTGTAGTTTAGTTTCATTTTCTTTCCAGACACCTGGCAGTTTTGTTTTGTTCCCCAGCTGCATACAGTGTCTGTGAATGTCTAATTTTGGCTAAAGATACAGTTTTAATTGATATTAGTATTAATTTTTCAACAGGATGCTTTTCCTATAAGTCTTTGTTAGTGTTTAGAAATGTAGCTAGTAGGTTGCACTCAGTACCTCTATGTGGTTTTTGAAACTTCTGTATGCTGTAGCTATGGAAAGCCTTGTCCTTTACTTGCAGTCTGCATACTCTTTTTCAGGCAAAGACTTTTTTTTTCTTTTTTTGGGGGGGGTGGGGTGGGGGATGGGGATGGGGATAAAAGGATATTTTTGGAAACCCCCAAATAATTTCTTACTGACTGCACTAATGAAATTTATATGGTATTTAGAGTGATGGTAAACTTTTCCAGTTTTAATATCTACACTGATAACAATCTTTGTCTTATTTCTAGTCTCATTTTGTTTAGCATCAGGTTTAAGCAACTGGATAATGCCCTGCTTCTGTGTACTAGGCTGACGAGCCTTCTATTACCAATTTTGTATTCCTATGTGATTGAGTTACCCTAAACCAGGAGTGCTCAACCTGGCTGGCCTACAGAGCCATGACACATGACCTGCAGGGCTCCTCATCGGTCAGGAAATTTGATGGCAGGGAGGCAATCGCAATACTGATGCCTTCTCTGGCTTCCAAATTTCCAAACTCCCTGTGGTGGGTTGGAGTAGAGCTGTACCCCCTCCTCCCACATGGCCAGATTGGGGCTAGGCCACACCCCCTTTCTTCCCATGCCACATGGCCTAACCCCCTCTCCCACCACTGTGGGGCTAGGCCTCACCCCCTCATCACCATGGGGCTGGGCTGCCCCACTCTGTATGGCCAGATAGGGCCCCACTGTACCCTCCCTGCACACTGGATTGGGACCTCCGGCTGGATCTGGTGTGTGGACAAAGTGGATGCTGCTTATTCAGCCCCCCAGGCAAGCAGGTTGGGCACCACTGCCTTAAATGCCTCCCTTTAATAAGTTAAACAGTGAGCTCCTTGAGATTGAAAACATGCCTTTGAATTCATAGTTTCTAGGGTCAGAAGGGACCTGAACAGATCATAAAGTCCGACCCCCTGCCCTGGGCAGGAACGAATACTGGGATCACAACACCCCAGCCAGATATCTACCCAGCCTCCTCTTGAAGACCCCCAAGGTAGGGGAGAGCACCACCTCCCTAGGGAGCCCGTTCCAGAGCCTGGCAGCCCTAACTGTAAAGTAATGCCTCCTGATATTAAGCCTGAACCTGCTCTCAATCAGTTTCATAGATTTCATAGACATTAGGGCTGGAAGGGACCTCGGAAGATCATTGAGTCCAGCCCCCTGCCCAAAGGGCAGGAAGTCAGCTGGGGTCATAGGATCCCAGCAAGATAAGCATCCAGTTTGCTCTTGAAGGTGTTCAAATTAGGCGCTTGAACCACCTCCGGTGGCAGGCTGTTCCAGACCTTGGGGGCTTGGACAGTAAAGAAATTCTTCCTTATGTCCAGCCTGAAACGGTCTTGTAGTAGTTTATGACCGTTCGACCTAGTCGTCATCCCTTGGGGCGCTCTGGTGAACAAACGTTCCCCCAGATACTGGTGGTCACCCCTGATAAACTTATAGGTGGCCATCAGATCACCCCTGAGCCTGCGCTTTTCCAGGCTAAAGAGCCCCATGGCTCAGCCTGTCATCGTAGGGTCTGCTTCCCTGACCTCTGATCATGAAATAATTGTGGCAATGAATAATTTGTGGCAGTTATTCCTTGCTATCCCAGATGGAGCCCGGGGAAATGGAGCCTCACCTATTTTCGGCTGGGGTCCCCCCTGGTGAGTTTATAGATGGCCACCAGATCCCCTCTCAGTCTTCTCTTGTGGAGGCTGAATAGTTTCAGGCGCTTTAGTCTATCTTCGTAGGGCCTGGCATGCTGCCCCCCAACCATGCGAGTGGGGACCCTCTCAAGGTTAGCCACATTCCTCTTGAAGTGCAGCGCCCAGAACTGGAGGCAGTACTCCAACTGCGGCCTGACCAGTGTCACATAGAGGGGAAGGATCACCTCCCTGGACCTGCTTGTGATGCCTCGGTAGATGCGCGACAAGGTTCGGTTAGCCTTACTGACCGTTTCCTTGCATTGGCAGCTCATGTCCATCCTGCAGTCAGCAATGAGTTCAAGGTCTCTTTCAGCCACTGTGTTGATGAGAAGGGTGTTTCCCAGCCTACAGGTATGCTACAGGTTCCTTCTCCCTAGATGCAGCACCTTGTACTTGTCTGCATTGAATTCCATTCTATTCGCCTCTGCCCACCTCTGTAACCTGTCTAGATCTAGTTGGATTCTGTCTCTCCCCTCCAGTGTGCCCACTTCTCCCTACATCTTTGTGTCATCAGCGAATTTGGACAGTGTGCTTTCCACATCCACCTCCAAGTCACCAATAAAGATGTTGAATAGCACAGGCCCAAGGACCAAGGCCTGGGGAACTCCACTGCCCACATCCCTCCACGTCAAAAACTACCCATCCACCACCACTTTCTGGGTGCGACCATTGAGCCAATTTGCCACCCATCTGACTGCATAGGCATCAGTGCTGCAGGCGCCTAGTCTTTTTATAAGAATGGGGTGAGAAACAGTGTCAAAGGCCTTCTTGAAGTCCAGGTAGACGACATCCTCCTCAGCGCCTGTATCCAAGGACATTGTGACCTGGTTGTAAAAGGAAACAACGTTAGTCAGGCAGGATCTGCCCGCAATGAACCTGTGTTGGTTGCCCCTGAGCGTTACCTCCCATGCTGGGCCCCCACAGATGTGCTCCTTGATAATTTTCTCAAAGGTCTTCCCAAGGACCAAGGGTGAGACTGATTGGTCTATAGTTACCTGGGTTTTCATTTCTCCCCTTCTTGTAAACGGGGACCACATTGGCCCTTTTCCAGTCCTCTAGGACCTGGCCCGAGCACCACGAGTGCTCATACAGCTGTTCCAGGGGCCCTGCTATGACCTCTGCTATTTTCTCAGTCCCCTCGGATGAAGAGCATCTGGACCTGCTGACTTAAACATGTCCAGCCCATCCAAAAGTTCCCTAACTAGATCATCCCTGATCCTAGGGATGGCGTTGCGTTCCCTGAGCCTATAATCCTAGCGGGGGAGTTGTCTCGGTCCCTTCTCAGAAATATGGAGGCAAAGAACTCGTTGAAGAGTGCAGCAAAGGAAAAAGCTGATATCAGAAGATTGGCAAGCCTGTCCTGTAGGGGCCTCATGTTACCTGATGCCTTCTTCTTACTCCCTATGTATTTGAAAAAGGACTTTTTGTTCTCCTTAATTCTGGTCACCAGCCCTAGTTCCACCTCTGCCTTGGTTTTCCTAACTGCCTCCCCGCAGTCACGAGCAACGGAGGTGTATTCCTCCTTGGTGATTGCCCCATGATTGCACTGATTTTATGCCACCTTTTTTGTCCTCAGGCCCTCCTGGATGCCTTTACTGAGCCAAGTAAAGGCATGCCTTTAATCCAGGGGTGGGCAATTTCCATGCCTTTAATCCAGAGGTAGGCAGTTATTTGGGCTGGAGGGCCACTTAGGGAGTTTTGGTGAGCTGGAGGGGTACTGGCTTCTTTGGCACTGTAAGTTGGCATGCCTGCAAAATTAAGGCAACCAGAAGCACCGCAGCCACTTCCGGAAGCTGGTGAGTGAGATCGGCCAGGGACCCTGTACATAACATCTTTAATTAGCATTTATGAAAACCTTGCTGGGCTATTTCAGCATCCACAACTCATCCACTTTGAAGGGTTGGATGGAAGGAGTCAGCCTTGAGAATGATTGATTAAAGCAGGGGTGGGCAAAATATGGCCCATGGGCTGGATCCAGCCTGGCAGGAGATTTAATCTGGCCTGTAGTGGATCCCTTGGCCCTGCCTGGTTCAGAAGTGTGTGTGGTCCATCCCACCGCCTCCAGCATGCAGTGGGGTTGAGGCAGTGCACTGGCTGGACTCCACTTCCTGGTAGCCCCGGCAGTGGTGGCGGCTCCTTCTGGCTACCACTCCCAGCCTCACAACCACCGCCGGACCCAGCTCCACTGCCCAGGCACCTCAGCCCACCACTGGGGGGGGCTGGACAGAACAGGCAGGCAGGGTCTCCATGGAAACCAGCCTAGGACCCACATGAGCAGAGCATTCTTGGCTGGGCAGATGGGATGGGGTGACAGGCAGGTGGGGACCAGCATCCAGGAGCAGGACAGGTGGGCAGGCCATGGCCGGGGCTGAGGTGGGGATTGCATGGGGCCAGGGCCTGGGGCAGAGCCACCTGTGATCCTCTCCCTGCACGTCCTGGCAACAGGTTCCATTTCCACAGCCAGGGGCACACCAGCAGATCACGGCCCTGCCCCGGGCCCTGGCCTCGCACTGTCACCACCCCATGATCCTCACCCTGGCCC